GGTTGTAAAAAGCCATGATGAGGACAGGAGGAGACACAGGGTCCTGGACTATGGCGCGGTATGGGGGCCAAAATTAAGACTACTGCCCAGCAGCAGAAGGCTATAAAAATTCCGAAGCAAACTACCGACCTGATTAATGATAAGCTGGCGCCGGTAACTGAGGAATAGCACCTTTACCGGTGTTATTACTAGATACGCTAGGGACTAGCAGCCCTCGGCTGGTCATTGACTGGATCACACACTCCCTCTGCTGTCTATTAGCATGGATAGGCTAGTGTTAGCATTGGAGAGGCTAGCCATTAGCGTGCCTAGGCGTGCCACTAGCTGGATTTCCTATCCCCTGGATGGACCTTAAGCATGGATAGGCTAGTGTTAGCCTGGATGGGCTGGTGTTAGCATTGGAGAGGCTAGCCATTAGCGTGCCTAGGCTGGCCACAAGCTGGATTTCCTACCCCCTGGACGTACCTTAAGCATGGATAGGCTGGCATTAGCATCGGAGAGGCTAGCCATTAGCATGTCTCAGAGAGTCACTAGTCAGCTAGTGGCCAGCCTAGGCACGCTAAAGGCTAGCCTCTCCAATGCTAACACCAGCCCATCCAGGCTAACGCTAGCCTATCCATGCTAATAGACAGCAGAGGGAATGTGTGATCCAGTCAATGACCAGCCGAGGGCTGCTAGTCCCTAGCGTATCTAGTAATAACGCCGGTAAAGGTACTATTCCTCAGTAAGCAGCGCCAGCCTCTCAGTTACCGGCGCCAGCTTATCATTAATCAGGTCGGTAGTTTGCTTCAGAATTTTTATAGCCTCCTGCTGCTGGGCAGTAGTCTTAATTTTGGCCCCCATACCGCGCCATACTGGACTCATCCTGCTGCATCAGATAAAAGAAACACTCGGGGACCTTTTTCTGGATGGGGATGGGGGCTGCTACATGAATGAATGAATGAATGATCAATTTATTCAGTCAGTCATCTTAAGATAATGTACAATAACATGTCATACAAATCGATACAAATACCATTTCTCACTAACATATGCTTTCATTTGTATAGGGTGTCTATTTGGTATCTCATGACTGAACAGGTTTAGGCAGAAGCAACAGCTTATATAATTGCCTAACCTACTTACAAAACAAATTTTCAATTTACCGCAATGAACCAACAACCCAAATAAAAGTAAAACACAAATCCATCCATCAACATCAAATTAATACTCTTCGAAAATATTTTTACTGATAAGTTTTTTAAGAACTGAAAGAGAAGTTGCTAATTTTAATTCTATTTTAGCCTCATTCCAAAAATTTACTCCCATCACAGAGATACATCTCCTTTTCATGCCTCTTTTGGCTTTTTGTAGAACAAACATACATACACCTCTTAAATCATATTTACTTTCCCTCTTTGCAAAAAACATTAGTATATTTTCTGGCAGAGCCGTTAATTTTACTCTAAACATAAATTGCATTATTTTATAATAATATAGATCTTCTAATTTCATAATCTGTGATTTTAAAAACAACGGGTCAGTATGAGCATAATAATTGCTCTTGTTTATAACTCGAATAGATTTCTTTTGTATAGTTTTTATTTCATGTATATGTGTTTTAAAAGTTGAACCCCGTATTTCTATACAATATGCCATGTACGGTTGTATTAGTGAACAGTATATTAGACGTAAGGCCTTATGGTTTAGTATGTCCTTCAGCTTATATAATAGACCCAAGGATTTGGCAATTTTTCCTTTTATATAATTTAAATGATGCTTCCAGGATAAGTTAGATAATTTCATGACCGTGTTTGCTAGCTTGTTCTGTAGATTTGCCAGTGATGAATTCTGCTTGTGTTAATGCTGTTTTGTTTTTTATTGACTTGCTTGATTCTGATTGGTTAAAAAAGATTTTCATCTAACCGCTGATGGCAGGTGTGGTTGGAGGTTCTTATTAAACACCCGTGTTGGACCGTTGGTGACCAGGAGACCTTACCCTCGAGTCGAAGCCCGACCGCTAGACCTTCGGCTCCTTTCATGAGAGTGGACTTTATGTCTGGAGGTGTCTCTGACCCCTCGTTGGACCACAGTTAGAGTCAGCATTTGCCTGAAAGCTGAAGCGTACTCGTAGCTTTAGCCGGGTTAGCCATATGCTATGCTATCTGTAGCTAACTGTGTCTTTTTGATGACACGTGTTGGGGTTGTGCTGCTTTTCCTTCCAGCCTGTGATCTTCTTTACTGCTCTTCTCTTCTTCCTCCTTCTCTTCCTTCTTGTCTCTTTCACATCTTCCTTGTTGGCTCATCTCATCTGTCCTTTGCTTTTTATTTCCTTTTCTTTGCTGCATCTCCCCTGCTTGCTTCTTGCACCCCCCCCCCCCCCCCCCTTTCCCTGAATGAACTTTAACAGACGCCACTCCCACACACTCTAGCCCCGCCCCCCCACCTCCTCCTCCTTCTGCTCGTCCTGCTCCTTCTGGCACCCCTTTGACTTACTCCTCCTCCTCTGATCCCCCACCAG